TCCGAGTTCTCAAAGAACAGTTTTTTAAATTAATTTTTCCATTTTCTGAACATCAATTGATTTTTTCAAATATATATATAAAAGTATACAATAATTTGATTTAAAAAACCAAATATTTGGTTAATGCATTTATTTGCACCCAGAGAAAAGATTTCTTTGACTTAAAGAAGCCAATTTCTTTGACTTATTTTCATTGATTCAAAATAAAATTGTCTTTGAAACAAACAAAGCTTCTTAGTTTCAAAAAAAAAAATTCTTTGACGCAAAGAAATTTGTGCATTAAATTAAAGAAATTCTAACATAGGGTCAAAGAAATATTTATTTGAATTAAATACAAAATTTCTTTGAAACGAAGATAATTTGTTTGCAACAAATAAATTTTCTTCGTATCAAAAAAAAAAATTTTTTCAAAGAAATTGATTTCTTTGAATCAAAGAAATCTTTTTTCTGAGTGTGTTTTATTCAATTTTTGTTCATAAATTTATTTTTTCTGTGTATTATACGCATATATATATGTAAATTATCACTTTCTCATAATAACCCTTACGTAGATAATAATTTAATATTAAAGAAGAAAAATTAGAAATTTACGCGATTAATGTGAATATAAATTGTATATATTGTATATCTTTAAAAAGTATATAAATCTTTATTAGCTTCGTGGCTTACACTCATCTTTATCAACTTTCTCCATGTCGCATATACTCCATTATTATTAGGGCAATTAGCTCGTACACTGTAATTTCTAGAGCGTTTTCTTAATTTCATTATAAAAGTTTCATCAAGGTGATTTTCATAATATTCTCAATTTATTTATATTTTTCAATCTAAATGACCTGATTCTCTTCCAATAATGTTAAATAAACGTGAAAATAGCAAAAAAAAAATATTTTAATAATTTTTTAACATTAATATATTAATTTAATTTATTATTAATATAATTAATTAAACGTAATTAAAAAAATAGTTTATTGATTATTATATTTGAGTTCAAATAATTTTTATTGTATATATATATAGTAATAATTCTCATTTTTAAATCAATTGTATTACATAAAAACAAAATCTCTTTTATAACTGTTTGTTTTTCCTATCTGAAAGTTGTAATCGTTTTAACTATACTATATACTCGCAAATGAATTAGTGTAAACAAAAATGACATTGTTCTTTTTAATTTGCATATATATTTCATTTCCCGTTATTCTTCGTGTGCTCTTTTTTTAAATTACTTCCAGAAATTTTCTTTAAGAGGAAATAATAAAAATTAAGAATAAGATTTGTCAAACTGTGGTATGAAAATTAAAAAAATATAATAAAACGTGGGAAATATTTAGTTATTAAATAATTATAAATATTATGTTATATTATGTAAAAAAAAAAGTTTGAATAGATTTTAATATTTCATACACTTTTTATAAAATTTCTGATAAGTATAATAAATTTTAGAATATTGTTTTTTAATTCTCATCATTAGAGAAAGTGGATATTGATAATAAATTCATTTATAATACATTGACAGTAGTTATGAATATTTTCTCTTAAAAAAGAAAAAAAAATTCTTTTTTTTGCGTAAATTTCCACAAAGAATGTGTTTACAGCTCTCAATAAACTTGTGGGAACGAATCAACCTTTATAGAAATATATATTGAACATTTCCTGTGATCATTGAAGCGCGCTCTTCCAATCAAAGTTTCAACTTTTAACAAAACTATTGCCAAGTCCTATTTTTTATATGTACGAGTCACATTTCTTTTGTCAAACATTTTACAAACCAATTTTAATTGATAAAAAAAAAAAAAAATTGCGCAGAAAATTAATATCAAGTGAGAATTTTGTTAATTTTTTTTATAATAAAAAGTCCTAGTACAAATTTTATTATTAATTAATATTAAAAATTAATTCTTAATAAATTATAAAATTCTTTGCTGAATCAAACTGAATTTTATATATGTTTTTTTTAATGATATTTCAATAATAAAAAAACATTTTATCATAATTAATTTAATAGTATCAAATTTGATATACAAATTTAGATCAATTTTATACTTTGAAGTTAACTGTTAATAAATTAACGTTAATTATTGTTATTATTATTATTATTTTTAATATTATTATTGCATTTCTAAAATTAATAATAGATATTATTGTAAATTATTATAGTATTATAAATTATAATTCAAAAAGAAATCTTTGATTTAAACTTAAGGGTTACGTTGGAGTTACATGTTGATGTAAATGCAGAATGCAAAACCGAAAATAATGAGAGTGAAAAGGATAGTGAGATATTCCTGTCCTTTTCACTCTAATTATTTTCGGTTTTGCATTCTGCATTTACATCAACATGTAAATTCAACCTTAGTTTAGAATGGGTATAATGTAAATTTCCACTGAAATTCAAGTAGAACGTCCGAAATATGCCATATTTTTTATAGTTTTGACACCTTCTCCACCTTGAGATTTTCTCTATAGTCTACTTCCCCGCCCTGTATTGAAAAATGCTTCCACTCCCTGAAAAGTGTCACAATTCGGATGTTACACTTATTACCAACCAACCATTTTTATATTTATTTGTCAATAAGATTTTGACATGATTCTTAACCTAAATTTATTTATTTACATCACCAGTTCCCGCAGTCCTACTGGACCATATATGGGTAACTAAAAGTAGATACTAACAAAATATATATTATACAAAAATAAAATATAATTAATATGTGAAGTAAATATGTAAAGTATATAGTACAAAGAAAAATAAAATATGAAAAACCTGATACAAAAATAATAGTTAAAACCTTACTGGCAACTGATTGTACGATACAAATGTCGTATTAGGTACTATAAAGAATCGATATAGGAATTAAGAGTGGATGTGAATACTTTTGCCGATGAAAAAAATAAGTCCAGGTCCGGATTCATTTGAGAAAATAATTTGTTGATATGATTACAAAAATAAAAAATAGGTGCAGTAGTGCCAAATGATTTCCTTGGGGTATCAAGATAAAAAGGTTCAAAATTACGTGTTGAAAAGTTAGGAATTCTTAAGTTAATCATATTTAAAATATCAGGAGCATAAATTTGAGAGTTAAGTACTACTAAAAAATTATTTTATCAACAAAAATGTATGATTGAATTAAATTTAAAAATGTTTGACTGGTATAGCAATAAAGATTTGAATTTTAAAATACGGTTATTTTTGTATGTAATTATTAAATTTAAAATAATAAATCGACGGGTGATACGAAGACTAACATAATCGAGATTCGGAACGAAAAAAAAACATTCTCAAAGAAAATATAACCAAAAATACAGTTTTCATTTTAAGTTTTCTGTACAAATAAAAAAAACTTTTATCGAAGTTTCTCTGAGTTGTAATATTTATTTAAAAATTAAATATAATCAAATTAGTTTTTTAAAATAAAGATTCATTTTCGAATTTAAAAATCAGGAATGTTAGTTTTCGTGCAAAGGTATTTTAGTAGTGTTTTTTTTTCGTAACACCTGTCGAAATAGGATTGAACTAAAAATATCGTTTTCTCAGTAATATCTACAATAAAGTTTGGCACTCCTTAAAAATAAAAATAGGGTTTTTTTATTTTTATTATTGAAATTTGCAATTGTCACGGTTGTTAAATTTTCTTCAACAAGGGCTGGGTTCGATAATAACAAAAAAAAAACACGTGGGATGGGCTCTTGGAAAAAGGAACACAATACAAGTGCAAATTGCAATGTACGATTATATATATCGAAATCCTATCACACAGCTTCATTTGAGTGCATAAAATTGAACGACCTGATCGATATCTGAAGGGTTTTATTTTTCTCTATATATACATTTATCTTATAGAAAAGTATTTTATATCTCGCAAAAGTAATCTTGATTTCTTTTAATCGATGATCTTTAAATCAACGAATTTGCAACATCACAAAGTTCGATCTTCAAATGATATACAACTGAATAAACTTGTTCTTATTATTCTATCGATATTATCGCTTAATTTTATATAAATGCTTCCTTCCGACTGATAAACGCATTCCAAACAAGTGAATATCCGATACCATTATCATTAGAATCAAATTAATATACAATTTTTACGTTGAATATTATTTTCGTCAAAAATTACAAATTTTTAAAATACAAACTAAGCTATTTTTTTAAAATTATTGATACAAATTAAACTATTTTTTTAAAAATAGAAAATAATTTTTTTCAAAATTAAAAATTTTCAAAATACAAATTAAGATATTTTCTTAAAAATACATTATTTAAATTTAAACAAATTATTATAATAAAAACGAAAAATTTGTTTACATTTTTCATCAGCTTTGAAAATGATTAAAATGTCATTTGCTGTGTCATAAATTAACACGGCTATGAATTAAATTATAGATAATAAATATATCGAAAGTTTTCAATTAATTAATTTCGTTTTTTATTAAATATTCTAAATTGACATTTGTTTAAATTTCGCATTGTTTACAAATTGAAGAACTTGTCAAAGTCAATGTCACATGGAGAATGATATATATTTGTCTCAGAGTTAAATAAATGTTCTTAAATAAATAATAATTATTTAGCCCTGAGATCAAAATTTTTTTCATTATTTATAATTTAAATATATTTTATTTGATTAAAATAAAAAAAAATTCTCCATATATAATAGACATTGAAAAAAATTCATTTGCTTCAAAATAATTGATTACTTATTGAATATTATCAAATAAAGTATTTCCTTGAACCAAATTTTAATTTTTATCAATTAAATTTTATTTGTTTTCAAATACATAAATTATTAATTTAAATACAGAAATTATTAGTTTTAGTTTGATTCAATTGACACAAAATTTTTAATTTCACTGTAAATTATTAAGTTCTTCAGTTAATAATTTTAAAAAATTTAACAGTTTTTAATTAATAATTTAAAAATTTTAATTAATAATTTTTATAAGTCAATTTAGAAAATAATTATTTTTTTCTTTGAAATAAAAAATTATTGACATACCTATTTAATAATCTGTTGAAAGATTTTTTTTTTTTTTTTGTTGATGTTAATCCTAAACACTGCCACAAAATAAAATGCACAAAATTTGACGTAACAAAATATAAATATCTAATTTTAAGTCAGGTGAAAAATCCCATCGATCAATGAAATGAGAAATCGAGCGATAAATTTGTTAAATCACGATACAGCATTGAGGCCGGTGCTGAGCCGACTGACTGACTTGGCTGTAGTATAGTAGTCAGTATACATTCAACATAAAACCACTTCCACACAGCCTCTCTCCAGCTCCAGCAGCAGCAGCGGCAGCTCCATTCTAAGCATATATTTCCACCACTCCATATAATCTCCGTTGACCAGGTGGTATGTATACAATCGGCCTAAAAAGATTTTTTAAGTATCAACTTTTGCCACAGAGGGCGCTGCAAACTAGGACTTATTACAGAAATAAAGAAAAAAAAATTTCTTTACAAAAATTTTGTAATAAATATTTTATTTTTTTTCAATAAATAATTTTAAAAATTTAATTTTCTTAATAATACATTTTTCTTTGTAAAATAAAAAATTGAAATTACACGCAGAAAAAAGGGATTTTTTTTTTTGGAGATAAATAAAAACATTTATTTGTACTAAAGAAAATATATTTATTTAAAGAAAATTTTTATTTAAAACAAAATAAATAGTTAACTAAATGAATAAATAATTTTTTTCTTTTCTTATTTTTTTACATTCTTTTTGTATACTTTTATTATTTATTTAGTTTTAATATTTTTAGCATTTTTGTCCGAAAGGGTGTTTTTTTCACACAGAAAAATGGTATATTTGTCTTACAGCCTAATAAATATTTATTTGATTCAAATAAAAAATTTTATTTACACCAAATAAATGGGCTAGTAGGCTGTGTGACAAATATACGTTTATTTAACTCAAATATATTATATATTTGATTCAAATAAAACATTTCTCTGGGTGTAAGCCCGTTTATACTACAAATAAATAAAAATGCTTTTTCCTTTATGGATAATTGATTATTGGCAAGATATTGTTACATCCCGAGCGAAAGGCGAGGTTGAATTTAATTTTAATTAATAAAATCAATTTTTAAATTTTGGAGGAATGGTAGGCTGATTAAGTCAAGTTGGTAAGGCTTGACCATTTATTTTTATGTGAGAACGTTTGTTCCTATCGATCCTATGGGGGTCGTCTTTAAGTAACAATATACAATATACACCAGCTAAAACTTTTTTTGAGTTAAAATAATAAAAAAAATTTCATGTCATTAAATTAAATATGAGCACTTTTTTCATAAAAACTGTAACAGTACTTTCTCAGAAATTACAGTCAAAAATTAAATTTCCATTTGGAAAATTAATAAACGCTAAAAAATACACGACCTAAGATTTACCAATCACGAAAATAACAAAAAAAAGTATTTTAACATAACATATTTTACTCATTATGACAGCCGTTTGGCAGGTTATATATGTCACCAGACGTTTCGCAGTTTTGCCGAAAGGAGGAGATTGGCGCTGTTGCTAACCACCTGAAATACATAATCTACCAAAGGGCTGTCACAATCAGTAAAGCAGTATCAATATGTTAAATATTTAATAACATTTTTTTTGTTATTTTTGTGATTGGTAAATCTTAGGTCGTGTATTTTTTAGCGTTTATTAATTTTCCAAATGGAAATTGCATTTTTGATTGTAATTTCTGAGAAAGTACTGTTACAGTTTTTGTGAAAAAAGTGCTCATATTTAATTTATTGACATGAAATTTTTTTTATTATTTTAACTCAAAAAAAGTTTTAGCTGGTGTATATCTTGCCAATAATCAATTATCCATAAAGGAAAAAGCATTTTACCATCTTGTTTTCAAGAAAAGGCTGTTGAAAATTTTCCAAAATTTTAGTATCAATGTAGATGGCGCTGTCTCACTTGGACCTGGCCAACGTACATTGAGTGACTATACACCGCAATGAGAAGAGAAACATTGTCATGCGAAAGTGAGAAACCTTTCTCATCGATGAGTGAGTGAAATCAAGTTTGCCAACCTAGAAGACGTGTTGGTAAGGTAGGTATTGAATTTTTTCTTAAGAAACTATTCAATACCTACCTTACCAACACGTCTTTTAGGTTGGCAACCTTAATTTCACTCACTCATAGATGAGAAAAGTTTCTTACTTTCGCATGACAATGTTTCTCTTCTCACTGCGGTGTATAGTCACTCATTGAAAGTAGACCAAATTTTGGTAACCGCTGATTGTCATGAAAATACGTAATGGAACACAAGCGCTCTCGTGGGAAGTATGTAAATAGTGGGGAAAAATTAGAAGTACGTTGAACATAACCCAAAAATACATTGCTCCTTATTTTTAAAACTTTTACAATGGCTGACTGTCCAGCTGAGTTTAACACAATCAGTGGCGCTAGTGTTCCATTACGTATTTTCATGACACTAAGCGGTTACCAAAATTTGGTCCACTTTTCGGTACCCGCTAAACCTCAAAAAAAATACGGAATGAAACACTAGCGCCACTGATTGTGTCAAACTCAGCTGGACAGTCAGCCATTTTAAAAGTTTTAAAAATAAGGAATAATGTATTTTTGGGTTTTGTTCAACGTACTTCCAATTTTTCCCACTGTTTACATACTTCCCACGAGAGCGCTTGTATTCCATTACGTATTTTCATTTTCATTTCTAAGCGGTTACCAAAATTTGGTCCACTTTCAATGTACGTCTTTCGGTCTCCTTATACTACTCCATGATAAATTCTTTGGAAGTGTATAATTGTAATAAAGTAAATTATGCAAAATATGAGGAACAATAATATAAAAGGTGATTTTTATAAAATTAACATTGATTTCGATGCTTCTGTAAACAAAATTCATGGTTTAACGTGACCAACGTCTTACTCCGAGGTCTAGGGAGCCAGTCAGAAAAATTGGCGTTTATATCGCCGGCCAGAACTCGAAAACTATAAGTCATATTTTCAAGATTTTTGTGTTATTCGATTACTTTCGATCTCATCTCGATGCCAAACTTATTTTTGTCAAATTTGGAAATGAAATTTCTTATAGTTTTCTATATTACCGACCGGTTAAAGATTTAACATGTTAGTATACAGCGCCACTGCTGACAATATCCACTATACCTATATATGTATAATAGTTAAAATAAACATGTCTGCCGATTGTCACTTTGTTCTGTTTTCATATCGTTATTTGAGGAAAAAAATGTGGAGCGATCGTGTAGTGTTGGCCTGTGTACATAGTAAAGTCACAGTATTATTGCCAATTGCTAAAATTTTGCACCGGAATAATATCAAAACATAACCTTAATCATGGATGTATTCTGTTCAAAAATTGTTGTAATTAACTGGTCCACGACAATTCTTGAACAGAGTAAATCCATAATTGAGGTTATGTTTTGATATTATTCCGGTGAAAAATTTCAGCAATTGTTAATAATTTGGCATTACGTTTTTAATATTTTTAAATTTAATTGTTTGGAAATTTATTGTCAGTTTATTCTAAATTTATGCAATGAAAAAAAATTTATTTGATTCAAATAATCGGTTACTTGATTATTATGGAATAAATATTAATTTGTATCAAATAATTATTATTTGAGTCAATGAAATAGTATTTGTTTCAAATACAAAAATTATTGGTTCAAGTACAATTTATTTAATTCAAATAAAAATTATTTGGTTCAAGTAAATATTTATTTGATAATACTCAAGCAACCAATTATTTGAATTAAATAATTTTTTTTATTCTAATTTTAAAATTCGACTTTTGTTTGATAATCAACGAGATATTTCGATACTTTTTCATTTGTTTTTCATGCATTGTCTTTTTTAAAGAAAGGATTTTATTATTTATTAATGTGTCTGAAGCTATGCACATTCAAGTAAACGAAAAATTTGTTTACTACTTTTTGAACTTGAAAATTTATTATAAAATATTTCTTTCCGCATTCAAAAATAAATTAATAATTTATTAAGTGTTTAATGTACTTTTTTTTATTTATCATTGCTTTAATAATTTTTAAAAAATTTATAAACAAAAAAAATTTTGTTCATTTGAACGTTTAGAACACATATTTATTATTATGAATCATCTATACTGAGAATAATTAGTCACAAAATAATATTTATAATTTTAAACAATCAAATAGAATAAATGTTTTTTTAATATAATATTTATTTGAAAAAAAATAAATTATTAAATTGTTATTAAATATTATTTTTTTACTTAATTCAAATACAATATATTTGATGGAAAAAAATTTCTTTGGCTGTATTATTAATTTAAAAAAAAAATATTTTTATTTGAAAAAAAATTGTTATTAGTATTTTGAAGAATAGTGTTGATTTTAAGTTATAATACAATTTTATTCGTTGTACTTATAGGAACACTCAACTTCCGTATGTTATTATTAAGTCATTAAAAAATTTATTACCTCTTAGAGAGACAATAATTATATTTTAATTATTATTTTTCGAACACATTAGCGAAAACAATTGATAACAGTAATAAAATTTTTTTTTAAAATAACAAAAAATTTTTTTTCCTGTTTGTACTAAACAAGACATTTAACATAATTGAACAAATTTTGTTAAATGTTGAAATTTAAAAAAAATGTGCCTTATGTTCTGAACGTTTAATGAACCAAATTTTTTTTACTATTTTCTTAATTTCAAATTTTATAATAAAACATTGTTTTCTGTATCCAAAAATAAATTAATAATAACACTGTGTTCGAAAAAGGTACTTTTTTTTGGAACAAACTTGGCATATAGTGTATTAACCTAATTTGGGTACGCTGAATTCAATGGCGTTATCCGTTTTTAAGATCGGGTCAAATTTTTTAAATAATCGGTATTTTATTTTTTTTGCCCATTATCAAAATTCAACATTTTTCCTAAACAAAAAGAATAAAATTGACTTGATACTCGTTACTTGGGGGTTTTTTGGAGTCGCTGATTACGAATCTGGTGTCAGTTTTTCAAAATTCAAAATGGCGGATCCAATATGGCGAAATTTTTTCAAAAATTGTTCGAATTTGCTTGAAACTTTCTACTCGGGGGTTTTCGGGTTCGCTGATTTCGAATCTAGTGTCAGTTTTTCAAAATTCAAAATAAAACAATTGGTTTGTTTGAAACTTATTTCTATTTTTTGACAATAGTGTGTTATTTAAATTATTTGTTTAGATGATATTTGAAAGTAAGATTTGTAATGAAAAAAATATATATTTTTTATTTATTTCTATAAAATTATGTTATAAACAAACGGTT